ACTTTCACCGTGGACAAAGCGGAGTCCAGCCCGGGGTCGTCACATGTGGTTGCCGCAAGCCCTCAAGCCTGCCGGTCTCCGCTCACTCTAGCCCGCCAGCCTCCACTCACTCTAGCCCACCGTGTGTGACGCTAAAGGTCAGAAGCTATAGCTTACAGGTACATGAACAAAAAAAAAATCACAAACATGACACTTAAATTAAATAATTTTATATATACCTACTGATTTATTCATTCATGTGTAATATGTTATATCATTTAAACAAATTATGAGCTTTAAACGATTTTCAGAATTTGTACAACTCTTTTGCTTTAGACCATTTACAAATGCTAAATCATAAAATGAAATGTTAATGTTACCACTTCATCTTTATGGGGGGAAAATGCAGTGATTAATATATAGTTTATTTATAGTTATTTCCAAATCTTCAATGTGCTGTCATTATAAAGTAACTTTATTATTGTTTATTTCATTCTAACAAATAAGTTCCTGTCCTTATTATGGGTAATGAAAGGTTCATATTTTGGTTTTGGCATGCAACAGGTTGACATGCATGCAAGGTCAAAAAACACTTTCATTGTCTTATAATATGCATTTATTTTTACCCTACTTGCTCAACGACTCCCAAACGATTCTCTCAACAATCCATTTTTCCAAACCCCTTCTTTACGTGACGCTAATCTGCGGTGATTGGTCAATTGGTATGATTGGGATTCATTTTAAAACGATTCGTTTCAATTATTCAGAGTCGACTCTTTCTTTTGAGAGACAATAACTTTATACACTGTGCACTTTTAGATTTAAAACTTTGCAGTATGTTTTCATTCACTTAGAGCTGTGTTACACACTGCATGAAAGGTAATTTTCAAAAATCCATAATAGGGGCACTTTAAAAACTAACCAAAATGAAAAATAATTATATATCGTTATCGGCATCGGCTATCGGCCAAAATGAGTTGAAAATTATCCGCATTAGTGGTTGGCCGATATATCGGCATTGGCCGATAAGTTTTTCTGTTTGGCAGATGCGTTTGAGGCGGGACTTTTAATTTTGACGGCGCTGAGAACGGCAGCGCCTGCGCACACAGTGTTCACATTCTCCTTGTTCGCTGTCGTCGTTGACAGTTCTAATACGGACAGAAATCTGTCTAATAATCAGAAAGAACTGTTAAACAAAGGAATTAAAATGTATACAAAAAAGTATTATAACGATTGCTTTTATATTATTAGTAATAGAAAGGCAAACATTATAATACTTTCTTGTTTGCCGTCAGCATTCAGCAAATATGCATTTATATCATTTAAACAAATCTTTGAATGACTAATGAACATTTAATTAAAAAAATCTTGCAAACTTAGTCAAATCCAGCTGTGAGATCGTGTGAAGTGTGCATTTGTATCCTGCATGATCGCGTGTTCTCTGTGTAACGGTAGGTCCGTGAGAATTGAATACGGACAGGAGGAAAGTTCTCCTTCACTGGAGACGCGCGATCGACTAACTTTAAACTCATGATTTCAAATTATGCTGCGCTTCATGCTTTTGCCCAATGTCATATTCATGTCATTTTCACTGTGTGCTGTATGTAAAATGAGTGTTACCTTGGCTTTATTTGAAAAAATAAATAAAGAATGCCCTGTTGGTTTCAGTGTTTACTTCCTTTTTAATTATATTTTTATTAATTATTTATTTATTTGTGAAAAATACTTTGTCATTTAAAGTACAAGTATGTTTATTTTACACATTTATTTTTTAATCCATTTTCAAATGATTTAAAATTTCTTAAATATTAATTAAAATAAATAAAATTATATCGGCTTTATATCGGCTTTCGATATAACCCTGCCGTCACCCTGCTTTCCAAGATATTGGCATCGGCATCGACTGTCAAAAAAACAATATTGGTCGACCACTAATCGGCATATCGTATATCGGCAAAAATCCAATATCGTGAATCCCTAGTGTTTTTTGTTCTCACCCTGTTTTCATCATAGATGATCTGGACCAGGCTGCGGTGTTTGGCTTCACTGGGTGGAGGTGAGATGGTGCGCTCTGGCTCCTGGGGTTTTGCAGCTTCTTCCTCCAGCTGTTGCTACAAAAAAAAAAATACAGAGCATGAAAGACTTCCTAACAATCCTGACTCCTATAAATCAACAGTGACAAAGGTTAAAACATAAAAATAAGAACTATATTGAAACTCTTATTTTTACTGATGAAAAAGGACTAATGCAACCCTTCTAGAATAAGCAGTCAGACACAACAAGAATGCAATATTACGTGAGCTAATATTAACACTATCCCCACATCAGAAGCACTGCTGCTAATATCAGACAAGCTCTGATTGGCTGAGAAGCACTAATGCTTTAGCAAAGAGAGTCAGCGAGACAACTTAATAGTCAAAGATTGATGATCAACAATAATTTCACAGCTTATACACAGATGCGCACAGAAACGCAGAGGCCCTGGCTCCAATAAAATGCTGAAAGGGGCCTCCGTCTTGCAAACATAAGCCCAAACTCATATGGATCAGCTCTAGTGAAGGATCAAGACTGTGTGTGTCCTGAGTTAAAGAAAATAAACGAGCCATCCCACTGCCCTCGCAGACAGTCAAACACAGAGTAACCTGATATTCTCACTTCTTCTCTCTTCTCTCCATCACTCCCTCGCTTTACGTTAAAGTTTACCGTACCATTTAATTGCACCAGATGTTTTAATGCTTAGAGGAAACCTAAGGGGAGAGGAGAGCGATGGACGGGGTCTGTTACCTCACTGAAAATAGATGCCAAATCTTTCAGAAGAAAACAGTATGGTGTTGAAGGGCAGATGAGGAGAGGTTCATTTTTCTTGGTAGCGTGACTGTACTTATACAACCACTCAGACTCAAAGCCGTTTCACTCCCTCTCCAATCCTCCATTACTCCCTCAATGGACTAGCCCATGGAGCACAGGTGGCTTCGATTTATTGAGCAGCGGTTTGGACACGGTCCAAAACCTCAAGTGAACTAGGGGGTCTGTTTTACAAGAAGACATGGTCTGCTTATATATTTTCTGCAATAAGCATGACTAGAAATATCTGAGAATACATTCTAATTCTTTAAACCTTTAAAAAATATTCTTGTAATACATACAGTTACTATTGTGCAAATTAAAAGACATAAAATAGGCGAATATACTTGATGCAATTATTCCACTGAAATAAGAGACCTAAAATTATAGTGCTGCATTAACACTTGAAGTAGACCACTGAGTAATGGCACTGGCAAGAAAAAAAAGAGAGGGAGAGGAAACCGAGAGAGGGAAGGAGACCGAGAGGAAAGACAGGAAAGTGTGTTTGTAGCTGTGTGGCCTGCTGAGGCAATAACCACACAATCATCACAACTCCACTCCGCACACACTCATCTACTATTGCTGCTACACTAGTGTCCAGATTACATAACACTAACTGCACTGTGGATGAAAAGCTTCTACTTATTGCAGCTCTGAAAGGTGTACTTAGAAAGAAATCCTTGCCTTCACCTAAATAAAAAGCTTTGCAAACTGTCCTGGTGCTTATTTTAGAAGGCCAACTTTTCCTGAAATAAAACAAAAATGCATTCTTCATAGGATCCTTTATGCTAGGGTTCAAAATAAATAGGCAAAATGTGGTGAAGGTTACCTGTTTTTTACGCAGTTTACAGATCTGCTGCTCCACCATGGTGATCTCCCGATCCACGCGGTCCATGTTCTGGATTAGCTCCTCTTTGGAGAGGCGAGAGGGAACCAAGTCCAGGTCGGGCTCCATGGGCACTGGGCTCACAGGAGAAATGGGCTCAATCTTTCCAATGGAACTGCTGCTGCTGCTGTGCTCCTGTATAAACACACACATCATTGTACTCATTCAGACCTGGTAGAAGCTTTATTTTGTTTGTAAAAGTTGTGGTTTCAAATGTTTATTTTTCTAATGAACATTAACCAAACATTTACTTCAGCTTAGAATCACAACAATTCCACATATGATGACTGATGTCAATTAGCAGTATTAATTATCAAACACATACATTATTCTGAAGAATTATGCTGAAGTATTTTGAGTGGTTGCTAGCAATCTGCTATTTGACAGCAAGTGTGTTTCTTATTATTATCTATCTTGAAAACAGTTGTGCTGCTTCATATTTTTGTGGAAACAGTGCTACAATTTTTTTTCAGGATTCTTTGATGAATATAAGCTTCAAAAGAACAGTATTTATTTGAAATAGAAATCTTTTGTAACATTATAAATGTTTACAGTCTTTACGGTCATTTTTGATCAATTTAATGATCAATTTAATGCGTCCTTGCTGAATAAACTTTTGAATGGTAGTTTATCTACTAAATGATTAAACAAAAATGTTTCCATTATCACATTTTACATTACTTGTTTTATCACAGCCAGGTAAAAATGTTAAGTCACAGAGAGGCACACTAAAACAAGCAGCATCATTTGAGAACTCCATGTCCACAGCACAAACAGTGTTAAGAGTTACGTGACAAGGTTTCATGCTTAGGTTTGGGGATTTGAACAAACCCCTAACCTCAAGCATGAGCAATAGCAATAGTGATGCATGCCTTGGCAGGCACCACTAATTAATGCTATTCAGCATTTCAAGGTTTTGACATTTTGGGTTCTTGGAAAGAGATACAATGTACTCGTTCTTCTCTCGTTCAGAAATATGAAAAAAAAAACATGGTTACAACACAGTACCGCTTAGAGACTGTTTAGTGGTAAAAACTTCACCTCTTATAGTAAACTGGTGAATGTACACACAGCAGATCAGTGGTTAAGGCTATTGAATATTCAGCTAGTTTAAAATGTGCTTAAGAGCCTTTGGGTTCATTCTCTCACATGAAGAGAATGTTACGTAAGCGTAGTGATCAGGGAGAGCGCGTGCTATTCTCTCTCTCATCGGCCCTTAAAGATCACTCAGGCAGAGCAGTCCTCAGGGCAAATGCATGGACTGAGTGCACACAATCACCCAACAAAAAAGAACAAGACTAAAAATACAATTAATAATAATAATAATAAATATAGCTGCAAGCAGCAATTAAGGGGCCAAGCACTACAGAAGCAAGCAAGACAACAAGCATCAGACCAACTGTAGCAATGAGTAATTGAAGCCATTTTAAGATGATTGTGGTCAAAATGGCTGAAAAATCATACATACTTCCACTAGTAATATGACTTAATGGCTTATCACTTTTGACCAATTGGTGGTGCTGTTATCGAATCGATGTGGTGTGTTCTGTGTGAGGTGACAATGGCACACACAAAGTTTGGTGTCAATATGTCAAAGCTTTGCAGAGATACAGCCTCAGACGTAGTTTGGCATCATGCTTCAAATTTGTTGCGGTGCTTATACAATAACGTTTTTGTCTATCAACAAGAAATCCATACCTTTTTGTCAGCACAGTCTGAAGATGATTTTTTCAACATAAATCAAAATGTCGGACAGTAAATGCAGCTGATTATGGCAAAATTGGTATGTTCTCGGCATGACCCAAAGAATATATTGAGACCAGTTTCATTACAATAGGCTAATATGCTCAAAAGCTATTAGCATTTTTGGAAATTTCATTATAACTTTTGACCACAAGGTGGCAATGCTTCATATGTTTTCTAGTACTGTCAGGACATGGTACCAAAGACACATACTGAGTTTCGAAACGATATGTCAATGCGTTCGTAAAATTAGTTCGTAAAAATAGCATTTCACAACAAAATTCAAAATGGCCGACGCCCAAAATGGCCGACATGGGAAAATTGGGTATGGTTCGACTCGGCATGCTGCACTGAATCTAAAGAGTTTTGTGATTTTTGTTCAAACTATTCAGAAGTTATAAACAAAAATAGCCATTTTTTTATATCTCCTGACAACTAGGTGGAGCTGAGCAGAAACTGTGCAGGTAGCCTCAGGCCATAACACACACAAAGTTTGGTCTCTATACACCAAACTGTTGAGATGTAGCCTCGCATCCATTTTTGCGTGCTCTGTCAAATTTGTTTGCGTGTTATTTGAGAACGGTTTGACTAAACTTGAATTCCATAACTTTTTGCCAGCATTTTGGTGAAAATCAGACAAACTGTCTAGGACGAGCTCGAAAGTAGGTTTTTCAAACTATTAAAAAATGCAAAAAATCTTGACCAATAGAATTTTTTATTTTTGTTTCCATTTGACTCGCCATGAAATAATTTTCAGTCTAAACTTCACGGTTCAAAAGTTATTAGCATAAACATAAGTGCAACTTTGGACAGTTGGTGGCACTAGAGGGATTGAGATAGAGATTCCAAATTTGCTATGGTGACAGATCAGACTGTCCTCTATCCGTGTACCAAATTTCATAACTTTTCCACAGTGGTTCTATGGGCTGCCATAGACATTCAGAGCGGAAGAATAAGAAGAAGAACGCCAATGGATACAATAGGTGCCATCGCGCCTTTGGTGCTTCTAATAAATAATCACAACAACAATTTTTTAACATAAAACTTTTCTGACCATCAGGCTCACATTAAAGAGTAACGACCCCATGTGTTTTAAAGTAAATAAATTAAATAGATGTATGACTTACGGTAGAGACCTGCACTCCCGAGGGAGTACCGCGGGACCCAACGCAACAGGGTGCGGCGTGGGACAACTCTTGATGGGCGAGTGCGGGTGGGAAGAGACTCATGTGTGCGGGATGCGGGAGAATAAAATGATTCGCGGGACTCCCGCAAAATAGAAATTATCTAAACATAAAGTGTCTAAAACATATAAATTGTTATTTATCTGTTGCACAAAAGCAAAAAAAACAACTAATATTAACATTAAAATGATTGACGTGCAAGCTAGGCATAGTTTCTATTAATAACACGTGTTTAAAGGGTTGTGCAATAAAGCCAATCACAGACTCAGCTGTTGATTTCTGGAACGCAATGGCCAATCAGAGGTGATTAAGTTAGAATCTACTCACGGCAGTGCTGAAATTGCGTGCTCACGAAACATGTATTGTGTTATAACAGAGCTTTATGAGATCGCGATTAACTGAGATGTCAGCTTTTAGTGGTGATAAAGGAAGCGCTGCTCGCATTCTGCCATGCCAAACCAGGCACGCAGCAGCCAGGCTTGCTGTTCTGTTAAAAATAACAGTGGTTTGTGAATGTTGATGCTTAGCCTAAATAACAAATCTTTTATCGGGAGTGTTTATGCTGAGATGTTGTGGAGCTTAGGAGATGTTACAGAACCATTTCATGTAAATTTCTTTGATGTACTGAAAAAAATCTATATAGATTACTTTTATGCTGGCTTTTGCGGGCGGGAGCAGGACAAAACATGAATGTCGCGGGCGGGAGTGGGACAGAATCTGAAAAATCCGTCCCGCGCAGGTCTCTAACTTACGGCACAATAGACAAAGTAATCTTTTATAATTAATCATATTTTTATGAAACCCCTGACAATTAAAATGTGTTGCTCCAATTCCAGATTGTCCATGGAAAGAGGAAGACAAAGCTCAAATGTCCAAGGACAGCCTGAGAGCTCTGCTAATGTTCAAAACACATTCCTAGAGGCATTCCAAACTTCAGGCGGGATTTAACACTTCAAAAGGATTTGATAAAGGAGTCACTTTAGGACTCAAAGCTGCATACACACACACACTCACTCACTCACTCACTCACTCAACTCTCTCTCACACACAGCATAGGATGAAAATTGCCTTGTTAACCCCACACAATTACTTTCAAGGACAAGCACTATAATCCTGCCAAGTCTCAGTAACAAGAACCAACCAAAAATCAGAAATGTGTGCATGAGATTTAAAACTCCAAGCAGCTTTACATAAACATAAACCTGAGTGCTATGGGTATGCACTGCAGTAACCTTCACACTAGGGTTGGGCCGATAGATGATGCCATCGTCCATCGCCGATGACTGACAAACATCAAGAGTACTTCTGTGCACCTAATCAAATTTCAATGTGGACTAGTGTCGGTGAATATTAAACTGCAAAATGAGCAAGTGTGACGCTTGTGTTGTTTTCAGCCAAATTTCGACAGAAATAAATTTCTATTGTACAGTATAATGTACTAACGTTTAGGGCTGTCACTAATTATAATTTTGGCAATCGAGTAATCTGTCGATTATTCTGACGATTAATCGAGTAGTCGGATAATTAATCATTTATTTTTTTTGTAGTAATAAAAATAGACCTAAGCGAACAATAGCCTTTAAAATGACTTAAAATACATATATAATAGCAATTAAGCAATAATAATTAGTTCAAATAAAGTATGAAAAGCAAGTAATCATATGGTTTTATTGAACAAAACTGCACACCACACACCAACAGATTTTCAACCGACTGTCACAGTCCCGACTGTGAACATGGGAAATCTCGCAAAATCTCTCGATACTTGAGAATAAACATGGTGGACGATAGGCAGGAAGAAATTGCGATGTCTGCATTTGTTATGCTTCCGTCTTCTGTCAGCTTGCTTACTGATTGGATAGTTTCGTTTCACGTGATAATCTCCAGATCATACGCGCATTTGTCCTCGGGATTCCCCCACACATTCTGCTAGTGTGGGATCCTCAGGCGTTTACTGTATGATGCCCAGTTTTCCTTTGTGACTAATTACAAAGTCAGTAAGTGTATGATGCTTGGTGTTTTAAAAATCTGTTAAAATTTTAAAAGTCGTGTAGTGTATTCCAGCCTTTATGCTGGGTACACACCATAAGATAATCGGGCTGATTTTGGGCCGATTTCTCCCCTTCCGACAATCCTAGGTAATGTCCCGATTATCTTGGTGGTTCTAAAGATGATCTTATCAGATTTTCCTGTGGTGTGAGGTGTGTT